AAGAGCGTAACGTCTTTAAGACCTCTGCCCTTCTGTCAAATCCTACTAAAATCTGCCAGTGAAATCCTCCTCCTGGGGTAGGCATGCTTGATTGCAGGAGATTGTTTCTTTTGGAAAACCAGGCCAAAATCAGAAGATATCGATGAGTTCAATGAGAAAATAAGTAACTGTCAGGAGAGCAGCTTGCAAGCTCCTTATTTTGATATTACGATCCACCCATTTCATGATGTCCCAGTTTTTGATAGATCACTGCCAGCTGCCCATCTGGCGAGCTGTGGTTGCAGATCATCCAAGATCAACTCGCAGATACCTTAATTGGGTGCTGCCAAGAGAACGGCTGTCATAAACAATCGCTAGGCCTGCTTGGGAATGAGCAGCAGGAGAAAATAAATGAAGATCCTGCCTGTGCATCAGTGTTCTGACAGGAAATGAATGAATATTAAGAAATATATGTACGTGAAACCACAGCAGCATAGCGCGGTCAGAGAGAAGGGGCATTTGAAAGACAATCAAGCTGCACTAGCTCGGGTATTTCAACTGCTGATTGCAATCCTGTCATTTCCAGTCCAAGGGGAAAGGAGGGACTAGTAGGAGAAACTGGGCTTCCTAAGCCAAATGGAGATGGGCTGGAGAACCCTGGGATACCTGATCGTACGACAACCAGTTTGATGGGAGTCCTGTTGCTCGGTGAGCAAGTGCAGTCTTGGGCAACCAAATATCCCAGTTTTGTTGTGATTTCTGCCGTACTTCAGGGCTATCACAGACTTTCATACCCTGCCTGTATCATACCACTTCTCACACAATGGACTCAGCTATAGGGGAAGTGATAGCGGAGAGCGCAGTCGAGGAGGAAGGATGCCAGAGGTCTGCTCTGGGCTCTGCAGCCAAGGCACAGCTGGAGCCCAGCCCTCCCACTCACAGACACATTTCCAAATGTTGGGCCAAGTCACTTTTTGGGCAGCCTAACCAGTGAGACTGGTTGTGGTTACCAGACATGCTGAACGCTTTTAAATGCCTCTGGATGCTCGAGATTTGGTGGCCCCTGTGGTTACTCACCCAGGAGCTGGTTGGCAGATGAGGTGGTGAGGTTGAACTGCTGCTCCAGGTACTTCCCCAGGAAGGCAGCGAAGCCAGCCACCACCGCGATCTCCATGCAGGCCGCCAGGATGATACAGGTGAAGACGGGATTGGAGAGCAAGTGCTTAGTTACTTTGGGGATCACTAGAAGAGAGGAAAAAGGAAGAGGTGTTTTCGTGTAGGTTCTACTCGAGGTGCTGGAGATGCCAGCGTAGGACAAACTCACTTCAAATCAGGAGTAATTTTCTGTTCTGCACAGACAAGCTGGTGAGATGTGGCAACAAAGTGAAACACCAGAGGAGTGTTATCTCAAAATATCAGGAGGGTGCAAAAAGAAGTCACCTGTCATTATGTTTACATTTTACAGATGATTTTGAAATTTTGGAGGATGAGTGTTTTCCAATATTGCTTTTGTTTTCCCTCACAAGGAAGTCAATCAAAGCCTAGTATTTTCTTTGTCCTTCTCCTTTCCCTGCTTGCTTCCCATGAACAATGCTAAGCCAGCCGATGGGTGCAATGAGTACTGTACTCAGCAGCACACAAATTCTTGCAAGCTTTCAGACACAAGCTAACCCAGCTCACACTTGGCCTTTCCTTCTCCAGCCATCCAGACTTGCTTCATTTTCTTATTCTCACGTAACAGTGGCTCACTTGCTGAAGGACACCTTTTTGCAGCACATCTGGGTGCAAGCTGAAATCCTCCTGCTTAGCCTGGGGCCACGGCCACCCATGGACATAAGGGACCTCATGCCTGGGACAGGCATGTCAGTCTGCGTGTCCCCATAACCCAGAGCTTCACCAGCCAAGCAACACCTTCCATGCAGACCCTACCAGCTTTGGGCAAGGGTGCAAAAGGACGTGCTGAGCTATTCACTGTGTAAGATGCACACACACTGGCTTAAGTTTCATGATCCCTTAGCTCCTCCTTCCCGAATCATTAGTGTCCAGAGTCCTCTTCTCCAAGCCCATCTCTATTTCCGATAAGCAAACACAAGTTACCTTACAAAGGGAAATCTGCTAATGAATCAGATAGCACATTTTCTACTTCAGCGAACATTTTAATTATTGCCAAGATAACACAGCTTGAAGAGGGGAGCATCCCAGTACAGAAGAGAGCCTTGCTTTGTCTCAATATCTGATGACTAATTTCTCCCTGAATTAAAAGTGAAAATCATTAAGTTTGAAAATTACCTTGCCGAAGTGTAGTGAAGCCTCAATGGACCCCTATTTGCATTTTGAAAATCCATCCCTCATATCCCCTATGGTGTACCAGGGTCTAGCAGATGACAGATTTCTCTGGTGTTGGCTTCTCTTTTCCCTTAGGGCTTTTTTTTGGTGCAAAATCTAATTGCACTGGCCTCCGCAAGTGAATGCACAGCTCTTTGTCAAGGCTCTGCTTGGGTCCCCTTGGTCCTTTCTTGGGCGGGGAGGGGAGGAGCAGGAAAAGATTATAATTAGGTTTGATCTAACCTTTTTGGAAGGGGCCACTCCGCAGTTTCTCGTCTCTTTATAACACAAATGTTTTTCATGCTGTATAAAATTCTGCCTTCCTTAGGATTTGCTGAACATAATGAAGGTGCAGGAGGCATAGTGGGTTTTAGCAGAACAGGAAAAAAAAAAAAAAAAAAAAGAGAAAAAACATACTGGAAGGGAGGAATGGGGTTGAGGGGATTCAGACATGGATAGATCTCAGAAGCTACCTGCTGCCTCCTTCAGTTCTTTGGTGGCCGCCTACAGAATTTCCCCTTCTTGCCAGGAAAAGGAGGGAAAATGTAAAGGTGAACTTGGCAGCGCTGAGCTTGAAAAGCCATATTTAAGGTATTAATGCCTGTTGTGCCTCTGAAGTTCAGTTTGTTTGAGATTAATGGATTCCTCGAGATGCAGTTTTCTGCCAATCCAAATGCAAAGACACAAAGGTCTACCTCTAACTTTACCCAACAAATAATAACAGCCTGTCTTTTGCAGGAGAGAGCTGAAGATCATAGACATTTATTCCCGAAGTTGGCGAGGCTCGTACCCAACCATCACGCACTACCAAGGTCAAAATCCATCCTTTGTATTTGGGGATGGGCAGCAAGAATTTTGCAGAGTTACTGCACCATCTCACACAAGAGAGGAGGTCCTCGTGACTGCCTTGCCTGGCAGTATTAGGCTACGAGTTCCATGACTTCATCATTGCTTCTCCTCCCTGTGTGTCCGGGTGTGAGTTTTCTGGGACAGATTCTGTCCTCCACTGCATGTCTGATCACTGTTTACTGCAACAGGGCTCTGTACCAGCTGGAGGGTATAACACAAAACCCAGTGCAGAGTGCAGAGGCAACGCAGACAGTGCCTGGCAGCCTCCACCACCACCTCAGCCAGGGCCAGCTCGTTCCCTTTCATTTTCTAAGGGAAATGACAGGAGGATCCCCATAGAAATGAATATCCTTTCATCTTGCTACTGCCACCCATTAAGATGAATCATTTGACACCTGCTGCTGCCTTATCTGTCTCAGTTCTTGGGGTGAAATACCTCTGGGAACAAGACTAAAAGTCAGCAGTGAATTTTAAAAATCTCTCAATAGACTAGAGTGATGTGCTTTCAGCTGCCTGGCATATGGTGCTGGTAGGAAGGGGGAATGGAAAATATCTGATGGGGCAGGAAAGCCCTGGGGAACACAACAGATAAGCATGGTGGTACTTCACTGGAGTAGATTCCAGCAAAAGCCATGATAAACGTTACCCTGCACCTTGTGGGCCCAAAGGTCAGCTGAACACTTTGTAGCAGCACTTTGGAGATATAAGTCTGAGGTTGAAGCCCATTCATCAAATGGGAAAAGGAAAAGGTCTTTTGGATTCAAACGACTCTCAAAAATCTACTTGGAGAACCCACAAGCTGTATCAGACATGGCACAGACGCACCCTCCCACGCTCAGAAGGACCATTTAACATCCTTATCCCAATGAACCAAATACGCTACAGAAATGATGGCAGAAAAGCGATTCTCATTGCCATGGCAAGACAGACTGAGAAGAACAAGAAACCTAAGCCTCTTTTCACAGCTGAAGTACTTAAAACCCAGTTCTTCAAGATCATCCATGTGCAGCGTTGGTCACAGGATCATATACAGGTTGGAAGAGATTCAGGAGGACGTCCCAAAGCTCTCCAACACCCCTGCTAATCTTTTGACTTCCCACCTTTTAACACCCTCAGCAACACCCATGACAAGGCATCAAGCATCCTTCCTATCTCCTGCTGCGGGGCCAGCTGCGGGTGACAGGCCACGAGCTTGACAAGCAAACGCACCAAGTAGCTTTGATTTGTCACTAAACATCAGGGAGTACCGGGGATAATTGGCAACCTCATTACATGAGGTTTAACTACTCTCCAGAAACGACAAACTATAATCATCACGTTGGTGCTTGAAATGAATTGTTTGGAACATTACAATCACCAAGGCCCCTTTTTCCAGTTGGAGCACCCTACAGAGACATGTTTTCAATTTGCAGTAAAGATGAGGAACACAGAAAGCAAAGTAATAAATTAGAGGGAGGTTTACAGCCCAGTCCACCTAGGACAATGTGGTGAGAGAAAGGTGAAATGTAGCATTGAGCCAAAATACTGCTTTCTAATAGTATTGTAGGCAGCAAGCCTTGGATCTGAATAGAAAACAAAAGGCAAAATCTCCACCTGGCTTGAGGAATAAGGAATGAAGAAAATAGCACAGGCAGCAAGAAGAAAAAAAACTCCTGGAAAGAGGCAGCTCCTATAAAAGAGAAGATGGAGTAAAGCAAGAGGCACTGAAGAACTCTCAGATGAGTTTAATATGGCGAAGTCCACGGGGCCTTGGCAAAATTAGCATCGCAAAGGGTATGAAGGAAAAGCACGACACCCCTGTCAAAGAGGCTTCTTGACAGATACAAGCTTGAAGCAACAGTAACATTCTCACAGATGAAAAGCAGGTCCTCCTAGTTTATCATCTTGTCTCCAGCAACCACCTTTGCTCGATTTCATAGAGGGACGGAAACCTCCCTCACCTGTATCACAGAGGTCACAGCAAGGCACAGGATCTTTCTGGAGACATACTCTGCCTGACCTCAGCTGCTGCTCAGCTTCTACCCCAAAGTAGGCAGACAGAAGGCTTTTCTGTATTAATCAAAGCTTCTGATAACAAGGATGCTGGCTTTGAAACAGTCAAGAAGAACCTGCCAACAAAGCCCGCATCCTCATGAAATCCAAGCCAAAGGAAACTTGAAGACTAACAAGACCTGATGTGGGGCCTTTTATGATCAGCTGCCTTCTCTCTCATCTACGAATAGGACTTCTCAGCAAGCCTTTTAGACATTGGTAGGGAGCCAAGACTCAAATACAAAAAGGCGCAAGGTTACGGTACCCATCTGGATCAAGGCCAAAGACTCACCGCTATGGCCATGAATGAAGGTACAGACGGAGCCCTCTCCAAAAGACTGTCACTATGACTTGTTAGAGCCGTGAATTTAAAACTACTCATGTTAGCTGTTAATCCTGCTTAATCCTATGAACACCCACTGAGGACTACAGGCTCTCCATGGCCCAGGACCCCCCTGCACAGCTGGGAGCTTCTGGCCCAGCACTTCCTGTCTGCTCCCAGAAAGCAGTCTTGGGGAGAGAAATCCAGGATTCAGAGACACTCACTCTCTAGGTATTCAGCAGATTGGTGCACAGAGCAGGAAGGAATTGAACAGAAGACAAGACAGCTGTCAGCTGTACATCCCAGCTCTCCTACGCTCCTGGAAATGAAGCTGGACAGAAACCAAAATGTGTCCAAATCTAGGGAATTTGCAGTTTTGAAATTCATTTAATTCCACAGTGAGTTTTCTTTTAATTCCTTGTGAATGAGATTCTCTCTCCAAACCTGAAGGATTCCATATCAATTTCAATCCTTTTAGGTTTTTAATCTCTCTCGCTAGACAGACAGGCAGAATGCAATGAATTTCTGGTTTAAATCACTGCAAAACAAAATGCATTTAGAGCAGAATGTTTCAGGGGTGTTAAAGCCAAAGAAGCATTTTGAAACCAAATTTCATCAGAACTGACCACTCAATTCAGTAGAAGTGACATTTCTGTATGAAAAAAAAAGTAATGATTTTAACAAAATATTTCCAAGCACGTCCTGGAGCAGGTGGTGGGTTAGAGGCAGCATGTTAACATCAAGTGGGAGGGCAGATGCTGGACAGACATGAGCAGAGGGCACAGGTACCCTGACACAGCTGAGCATCCTCTCTGGCCCTGAATAGCAGAGAGGTCCCCAAGGCAGACCAGAGGCAAGAAAGCAAAGCCGTGGCCCCAGGACAAGCAAGGACTGCTGCAGCCCTCGCCTGAAGTGCTTTCACAGACCATACGGAGAGTGCAGGGCTGGAACAACCCTGCCAGGCTGCCAGCTGAGAGCAAAGAGCAATGGCAGCATTTATCCATCCTCTCCCTGCTATTTCCCTGTGCTCCCAAATGGATTTGCATAGCTTAACTGAAATACCAACCAGGTAAAGCAGCGCAGCATTCCTACGCCGGTTTAGCCTGGTAAAGGACGGTAAACACCTCCCAGGGCTGTCCCTGAGCCACTGTGCCCCTGCCAGGCTGCCAGCTGAGAGCAAAGAGCAATGGCAGCATTTATCCATCCTCTCCCTGCTATTTCCCTGTGCTCCCAAATGGATTTGCATAGCTTAACTGAAATACCAACCAGGTAAAGCAGCGCAGCATTCCTACGCCGGTTTAGCCTGGTAAAGGACGGTAAACACCTCCCAGGGCTGTCCCTGAGCCACTGTGCCCCTGCCAGTGCCGCTGTGCAGAGCTGTTGCCGCCTCTGCCGCCTTTGATTGTCTCTTCACCTTGCGCTGTTCAAAGGCTCAGCCCTTCATTTCAAGTTTGAAGCTCCTCTTAAGGATGCTTCTCTTCCCAGCATGGAAATACCCCGCAGGAAGCGATGCCATGGCTTCCCAAAAGTTGGGCCATCCCTCCTATTTAGACCATGATAGAGATTTAAAAGACTTTCTGATATTTTCAGCAGGTTGCTTTTATATTAGTCCTAGCTTTTCTGCATGCTAAGTCTAGAGACAGGCAAGGAATCTCATCCAGCCCTACATGTCATTGTCTTTCAGCAAATCTTCTAGTGTCTTGGAGCATCCTCCCACGTGCCAGCCACGCCATGTCGCTAGCTGACAGCCACGACCCAGCTGGGAGCATGTCTCCAACTGACACCACCCTGCTGCTTCTCCTGCCACGTCCACTGGACTTGCAGCAGTCTCTGCAATGCTTCAAAAAAAGACAACAAAATAAAAAATAATCAAACCCCTTCAACAGGCAAAAAGGAGACTCAGTTCAGCCTCTGAGGATGCACCATTGACACACAGTGTGTTCGCACACTAAGTCCAGAGAAACAACACTTCTGCCCCACACTGTGCACAAGAGGTGGACAATCCTGCACCTCCATGCAGACATAGACTTATGCCCGGCACACAGCTGCCCAGGACCAAGCTGCAAGGACAACACTAGCGATAAAGCGGTCAAGTTATGACCACACAAACTCTGATCAGCATTTCCACCCATAACCCCATGTACAGGTACATCCTCTGCTGTTCAGCTTCACAAACACAAGCACACCCCAAAGTCCATGACAGGACACAGGACATGACTATGCACACACATACATATTTTTAACCTCCCTATGTAATTACTGCTCCTTTTTATCCTAGGAAAAAGGCTAACTTTCCCCAAAGGAAACTGTACAGTCAACAAACAGATTAGGGATACCAGGTCCTGCCACATAGGAATGCATGTATGTATTTCAGCTGCTGGCGAAATAATCATAGAATCATAGAACAGTTTGGGTTGGAAAGGACCTTTAAAGGTCATCTAGTCCAATCCCCCTGCAGCTCAAAGCCCTGTCCAACCTGACCTTGAATGTTTCCAGGGATGAGGCTTCTACCATCTCTCTGGGCAGCCTGTTCCAGTGTTTCACCACCCTTGTTGTAACAAAATTCTTCCTTATGTCTTCTCTAAATCTACCCTCTTCTAGTTTAAAACCATTACTCCTTGTCCTATTGCAGCAGGCCCTGCTAAAAAGATTGCCCCCATCTTTCTTACAGGCCCCCTTGAAGTACTGAAAGGCCACAATGAGGTCTGCTTGGAGACTTCTCTTCTCCAGGTTGAACAATCCCAACTCTTCCAGCCTTTCCTCATAGGAGAGGTGCTCCATCCTTCTGATAATTTTTTTGACCCTCCTCTGGACTCGCTCCAACAGGTTGCTGTCTTTCCTGTGCTAAGGACTGTGGAGCTGGACTCAGCACTGCAGGTGGGGTCTCACCAGAGCAGAGTCGAGGGGCAGAATCATCTCCCTTGACCTGGTGACCACACTTCTTTTGATGCAGCCAGGATATGGTTGGCCTTCTGGGCTGTGAGCGCACATTCTCGACTCATGTCCAACTTTTCATCCACCAGTACCCCCAAGCCCTTCTCAGCAGGGCTGCTCTCATTCCCTTCATCCTCCAGCCTGTATTGACACCAGGGGTTGGCCCAACCCAGGTGCAGGACCTTGCACTCGGTATATAATGTACATACACAGCAAGAATTAACTCATCACCTTAAACACTGCTCACCAGGACTGAGCGAGGCACGTTTGCTTTCCCCTGTGGTATGTGTCTGAACATCTCCTCCAGGCAGGCACTTTAGCAAACACAATTCTTGACCACATTCTGACTGTGACAACAGTGGCAAGGGACTTGAAAGGAGATGTCAGATACCAACACCATGTCATCTGTGACAGCCTCAAAGGCATAACTAAAAAGGTCATTCCCTGTCTTTTTTGATGTGATGTAAATTGTATTTCAAAGTCCACCTCCAAAGAGACTTCTGGAATACCAACTGATTTGAAATGGGGTTACCTGCAACGAGAAGTCTAATGTGGAAGACTATGGAGCCCAGTAATGTAATCAATACTTTGAAGCACATGGATGTGGCAGTTTAATTTCTCTACTTCAATGAGCAATAGATGCTCTAGGAATGCCCCCATGGCCTCCCTGTGTGCAAGAAACTCAGCTTGCTCAGCACCACCCTCAGGCAGAACTGCTGCCCCTCCGTGCAGCAGGGACATGACGTATTCTTTAATTCTTCTATACAAAAACCTGCAAAAATCTCTTACTCCAAAAACTCAGTGCCCAGAAGCAGACGCTCTGCTGAGTCCACAACAAAAGCCACAAAGCCACAGAATTATCCAGATGGACATATCAAGGGAAAAGCCCATTCCTCAAGGTTGAGAAAATCCTTGCAACAAGGATGAAAGAATGAAGAAATTAATTTTACTGACAAATTTTCAAACAATTTATCCCTTCACCTTTCCTTTGAATTTTCTCAGCAAGACAAAATTTCACATCTTTGACCTTCCCTTAATGAACAACCACATCAACTATTCAAGCCATTTATATATGTAAGAAAACACTTTTTTCCCCAAAGTCTCTTTTTCCTTCCCACCCGCACCTCATTCAATTCCCAATTAAGGTGACTGCACAGTGAGTAAGTGATTTTGTCCTCATTTATCTAAATGCATTATGCAGTAATAAAACCTGCTCTGCCACAGTGACAGAGAGTAGGAAGCAACCACCAGCGCTACAGAACCACCCTCTCAGGTGGAGGATTTTCCAGTGCAGCCTACAGAAAGAGTATCTACCCACACTCTCCCACAAAATGCTGGATCCTTAGCTGACCTTAATTAGAGTCAGGTCCATTTCCATCACTGCAGGATACAATGTAGGGTCTTCTACTCTAATTTGCTCCAAACCATGCCCTGCCCTGCCACTTTGCTGCTATTCTGGATGGGTATCTACCTCTTCCCCATCCCAGTTTAAGAGCTGTGGTGGTGCCCAGCGCTCATTGCTTTGTATCTGGGATTGCACTAAACTGCAGCTCAGATGCCAAGAGCTCCCAATTTCTTTTAACTGCCCTTGCTGGCTCGCTCTCCGTTTCGGGAGGCAGAGGGGAGCAGGACAGTAGACTGGAGAGAAGTTCACAAATTGCTCTGGCAACTGTGTTCCCTTTCATTTTTGTATCAACTCTACAGGATTATCGTGCATTTCTGAAGCTTTGTAGTTTTAAAAAAAAAACCCAAACCTTTCAAGTGGAACAAAGTCTCTCTTTAAAATGAGGACAATGCCAGAGATAATCAGAAGCTGGCGACTAAAATTTCAGGATACTGAGTTTTTTGGGTGATTTTTTTGGGGGGTTGAGGTAGATAGCCCAAATCAGAGACCAATTATAAACTGAACCAGCTGTTAACCTGTCGCTAACTCTCACAGAAAACGTGACAAGAGCCACTGTCTCACCTCGCAGCTGCTGGAAGCAGGTCGTGCTGCTCTCCCCATCCAGCGCGTGCCGCAGGACCCCGTTGCTTGGCTTCGGTCTCTCGTAGTCCCTGTCGGGAAGCATGGCCTGCTCGCTCTCCCCAGCGTGCTCCGGCCGCGGGGGCAAGGACTGCGGGAACCCAAACATCGGCAGGGACGAGAAGAAGAGTAAGGCACCACACAGCAGGAAGCCTCCCCACCATGCACCGATCCACCGAGGGTCGTCTGGGGTTATGTCCAGCTTACCTGCAAGGTCACACACAAACACGTGTCAGTGGCTCAGCCACAGGGAGGCGAAGACAACAGTGTTAATGATCCTGTAGGCTGGAAGATGGTTGTTGAGGGCTTTGTTGGCTGGTGAGGGGCTCCCAGACACAAGGTGGGGACCCATAGCGCATCCCACACCCGTACTGTGTGAGCCACCAGTGCATAATGACTTCCACATCCAAGAGGACAAGCAACCCATCACTTAGTCTATCTAGACGGTACATCCAGCTTCTGCAGCACCCTGTAATCAGGGCTTCTCTCCAGTGTCTTTGGCTCTGCCAGCCCTAGGAAACTGTCATTTACCAGTCAGTGTACCCTGTGCTGGCAGCGAGGTTTTGGACATCACTGTCCCACCGTGTCAAATGTGCACACACAGCTGACATACCTCCTGGCACAAAGACCTGCGTGGAGAAGCAGCAGCACAGACAAGGACATTGTATCTTCATCCTGGCTTACCCTTTTTTTCCATGAGGTCAATGCTCTCCCTGCATTGAATTCACAGCCCTTTTCAGCAAAGGAGAGATGGGCATTTGGGCTTCATGGGCACCTGTGACTGTGTGGAGGGTGAAACAGTCCTAAATATTGGAAAAGACACCCACCCACTGCACCAAATAGGCTCAAAAAGGTAGAGAAATCATCAGAAAATGACTAAAAGAAAGGTAAAAGGCAAGAGTATCCTGTAGGCCATCACTCAGCGGAGATAAGGAAAAAGAAGGCTCTGGAGTCAGTTTGGGGGAATAAAAATAAGCAGCAGGAGAGAAGAAACTGTGTTCCTAACAGCTGACTTGCTGCCACAGCCACTTGGAAACTCAGTGGAGGGTGCCCAGTGCTGGAGCCGACTCCCAGGGAAGAGCTGGGTCTGTGTGGCTAAAATAACAAGCTCTTCCATTCGTGATGTCTGTCTGGTTTCTGCCACTGAAAAATCTGTCTCAAGTGAGGCAATCAAGTTGTCTCTCAAGCAGAGACAGAAGGAAACACTTTTCTCCTTAGGGAAAATAACACGTAGTTCTCAAATATATATAAAGTTTGAAAAATAGTGGTTTGGAAGGATTGTATTCTTCTGCTGTTATCTCCTCCTGCCTGCAGTGCTTTTTATTCAGGTTCTTGGGAACACAGTCATGTCAAGAGACAAATAAACCAAGGTCTTTTTCACATCCCCTTCCTAAAATGGGTCCTGCAGAGAGGGCAGCACAGCGGTGTGACCTGGCATCCCACACCTCCTGCCTGAAATGGGGAGCTGGACAGGACTCAGCCCTCTGGAACTTGGTCTCCTTGTGCCACCCCGAGTTGCAAGACAGAGCCAGCTGCAACGTGGAAACTCTTTCCAACACAAAAATAGATGGAGGAGGCCATGCGTGCCCCAGCCTTCACATGACAGCCACGGACCATGGCCAAAGCCAGCTAGACCTGCAGCTGGAAAGTGCCATACCCTCCCCTATGACCTGCTGAGCCTCAGCCCCTCTAGGCTTCTCAGTGGTAACATTCCACCATTCTCCTCTGTGGCTCCATATTTGTCTGGGGCTTTTTGAGCTGTAAATATGGAGCGATGTCTTCTGTTAAAAATGGCCAGATCACACAAAATTAACTTTTTAGCTAGACCAGCATCTTGCCTCTGATGGTAACCAGCTGCAGATGCCCAGAAAGCCCACAAGAATAAAGTAAATATATACCTAATATCATTCTTGTGACCTGTGGCTCAGGGGCTTTCTAAGCTAGATTTGGTGTCAAGTTCATTTTTTCTTCTATAAACTCATCCAATTGTTTTTGAATTGATTTGTAGACTTTTAACACCCTATGGTGAGGAGTTCCACAGCTTCACCTCCTGGGAGAAGAAATATCTTCTTCTGCATATTCGTATTTTGGGGTAAATTATACTTAATGGTCAAATATGTAACAAGGACTCAAACAAGCTCCTCTGCCTACAAGACCAAGTGGGTCTTTGGCCTATCTTTGCTACAGCCAAGGAATGAAAAAGGGCCACGTGGTGTTTGACCAAGCCACAGCTAAAAGACTCAGACATCAAAAAAGATACTTCTTTTCTTCTAATTTGATATTACTTAGATTTCTCCAGTTGCCATGTGTATGCGAGACCAAGAAAAGGCAGTAGCACTTTTCCAGATTTGCACAACTCTGCTCAGAGTCCTGCAAGGTTCAGCTCCATCCAAACGCATCCTGTGAAGATGTATTTGCAACATCATAGTCCTGGAATGCACCCTTAAAGGGAACAACACCCCTGCGGCAGGACAAGAGCCCGTGGGATCAGACTGAGTTGAGAACTGTAGAAAAAGCAGCTGAACAACCGAGGGGAAAGAACGAAGCACCAGGTTTGCAGCCTTAGCCAAAAGGCTTGGGGAGCAGCAGAGAGCAGGCTGTTGCACATTGCCCTCCAATGGCAACGAGCATGTAGTGCAGGTAGCAATAAAAGCAGAATTTGCAGATTTTTTTTCTTAACGAACAAAAGACAATCTGCAAACAATCTGCTTTAACCCAAGCGCAGAGTCAAGGTGAGCAGTAATTAGCACTACGTTGGGAAAAAGCAACAATGCTGTGGGACTGAACCTGTCCATCCAAACAGGGTCATACGTAGAAGGTGCTGGGCACAGGTCTTACTGGTGTGCCTCCATCAGAGAGCCTGGACAGTCCTCCCAGGTCCTGGGTATGGCACTTCTCCAGATTTCAGCCCGTGCTCTGGACACAGCTCCCCTGGCAAGACTATGTCCATGGCTAGCTGGTGTGCCCTGCCACAGTGATATTTTCAGGTGTCCCCTAAGAGCCGGGCTGAAATTCATCTTGCGCTAGAAAAGCTCATGGAAGAGAACAAATTTTAGCTACTACAAATCTGTTAACTATGGGGACAGAGTTGAAAACTTTTGAATGCCAGTCATAAAACCTCTCTAAAAGTGATACCCACACATGCAAGAGGCACTCAAGATGGAAGAAGAAGCAGTTTCCTGCTCATGAGCATCAACATTTTTGTCCTACTGATATCAACGTTAGAGTATTTGATTTGAAACCAAATCCAGTTCTCCTTACTTGTGTCAATGAAGACAGCATCCACGTAGATTTTGGTACAGAAGGAGCCCAAGATAAATCCACAGGCTGGTCCAAATACCAGCATCGTAAACAGGATCCCTATACGGCCCTACACGGAGAGAGAAAAGAGAGTATTAGTACTAGGCTCAGGTTACTCATTGCAAGTTGTTCTGCTTGTCTCCTGCCATACCCATGCCAAATACACAGGGATATGTCTCTGTGTTGAATGCTTCAGGCAAAAGAGCACCCTAAATGCTTTTTGCTCTTCTGTATTTCTTCAGGAAAAAGAATAGATGGAGCTGTGATAATACTGATGGATTTCTATCGAGCTGAGAAGACAGTGTGGACATGTACTGTGTTTTGGTTGGCTGGCTGCTCTAAAAGATGTCTTACTCAAAAGCACAAGGTAAAGAAGACCTGCCTTCTCCCCACAGGGTCGTCTTTATCTTTGCCACCTCCAGCTAAATTCCTGGTAGACAGGGGTATTTTCAGAATGTAGGGCCCGCAAATCTATGAAATGCAGCATTGCCACAGACTGCCAGATGAAGTCCCTTTGCAGAAGTAGGAGCACTCTTCCAAATCTGTGAAGCCCTTCTCCCCCATCATACCCACACAGCAAATATTCCCCAAGGCACACAGCTCTTCCAACCTCTCACAACTGCTTGCTGCTCCTGCAAAACCTGCGTGAAATTGCCTGTGTAACGCCAGGCAAAGAGCTATTATGAGTAAATTACTTATTTGCTTCAATACAATATTTAGAAGTATTTATTCTCACTCCCATTTTGGCCCTGAAACAGCAACACTACAGGCACACCGCCAACTCTCAATTATCCAGGGCAGAAAGGCAGGGGGACACAAGGATAATCCAGAAAAAGAAGCAGCAAAGATAATTGTGAATTAGACAATAAGAACATATTTGGTACCTTCACATTTGGGATAGAAAAACAACAAAGAGTCCCCAAGGATCCTTGTAAACGGCTTTTCTGAAGGAAGCAGGGGCAGGTCCGAGCAGCATGGAGCACAGCAAGCGCCTGCTTGTTTGCTCTGGGGCAGAGCATTGCTGACGGACCCCTGTGCCCAGGGAGGGGGGCAGCTCTTCAGGACCCTCAGCCAGTGATGTGCCAAGCTGTGCTGGCACCAGTCTTGGTGTCGCTGCACTTCAGAAACGTCCCACGAAGGAGCTTATTCACATCTGGGTGCTTTGCTCCCTCTCCTTCTACAGCAGGGCACATCCCTCATCTCTCTCTAAATCTCTCTGGGGGTGCTGCCTGGCATCTTGGTGCATTTGTAATGCACAGCTACCGCAGCCCTCAAGTTCCTTAACCAGAAACTTTCAATTCCCAAGTTCTCTCTCTGTGCATGTCTCAGGAGCTGGAGAAATGATCAGAGCTGCAAAATATTCCCCGGAGACCACCAGCCCTATGCAAGGCAAACTGCACCTGCCAATGACAGCTTAGCCAAGCAGAATAAGGGGGTATGGTCAGACATAACTTCACCTTCATTTTCAAAATGCAGAGTGCAAACTAATTCCTCCAGGTTTGTGGCACCGTGACTTGGCTGGATTAATAACTAGGTACAAAGCAACGGTATTTCCAGCCAGGCATTTGTGCAGAAACCTAGCGTGTTAATGCCTTCACGGCTATCACCTACAGAAGCAAGAGGGAAAAACAAAGATAGTGGGAGGATAAAAAAGTGTCAGGTCGTATGAGCCACAGTAAGGAGTCACTGCCGTCAGGACAGTGGCAGAAGCTGCCATCCCTTGCCCCATCTCAGCTAGGCTCAGAGCTGCAGCAATGGCACCATGTCGCAGCCCATGCTGCCAGCTTAAATTAGTCCCCAGGGTCTCTGCCCATGATGTCCACGCCAGTAGCGGAGCAAGCCGTCTCCCCTCCTGCAGTCACCTTGTTTCCAGGCCTTGGGTTTGTGCTCCACAATCCAGCAGTAAATTGGGAAGTTTGTGCTCCTTAATCCACAGAGCTGCTTAGGAAGCCTGTGCCTTGCTCCCCCAGGGATCTATAAAACCTCATGTGGGAGATCCCAGTCCCTGGTTACCTGCAAAAGCACTTCGTGGGACGTGAAATGAAGGAAGAGACAGGTCGGGAAAGCAGGGAAAAGGCATTTCTTTTCCCAGCACACCCAGCACCATCTCCTTCCTTCCCAACCCCAAGGCCTGCCCCACCTGGAGCTATAAAATTTCCAGCGGCATTTTATAAAATATCCAGATTGAATTTTTTTTTTTTGGTCACTAGATGGCATTAGTGTCTGTCATTGATCCCACAAGCGCCACGTGGAGCAGGCTGGGTGACAGTGCAGCTCACCCCAGCTCCGCAAACACGATTGCGTTACTGGGGGTCCCACAGCCCCTGGGAGGATCGCACTGACGGCAGGGTGCTGTCTTCACCCCCATATCTGCCACACGTGGAGTCAGGCTGTGCAAAAGGCAAAATGCCCTTTGGCTGCTTGCCTGCAGGAAATCACAGATTTTAGAACAAACTGTTCTAACACTGTTGAGTTTTTAGTCAAAGAGTTTAAACAGACAGTGTCTAGCAGAGGAATGGCCGTGACTACTAGCCTGATAAACAAGCTGGCAGTCAAAGATGTGGTTTACCTTTGATGACTGAACATTAATCATGAATTTCTATGTAATTAGGGTCAGGCATGCACGGACACATTGGGCCTCACACCGGTTGGAGCAGCATCTGGGGCAAACGGAGCCCATGTTTTGGATGAAGAGCCCCTGGTCAGGAGTCACAACATCACTCTGCTCTTCTCTATCCTAAAAGGAGTGAGGGGAAGGAAAAGCCAGACCTGAGCACCTCCTCTTTCCTAGTCCCAGATCCCCATCCCAGATCCTGGTACTCAGCACTGCAGAGGGCACTGGCAGAGAAACCTGCTCCTCCAGAGCCACTCGAGGGTTCGCATCTGCCGGGATGAACCCTCTACGAGGGAAGGTTGCCACGAGCATCAAAGCACCCTGGGCTGTGACAGGTTCCCACAGCCACCAAGGAGCCAACAGGGCTGCTGAACTGCTGTGCAATTGCCCCGATGGGACTTGTGTGTGCAAGCAAAAGGACTGCGTGGCCAATAGATGGCTGCTTCCAGGGCACCCACAACCCAGGAGACGGCAGCTCTGGGCACCGCAGGGCTGGTTTAAGACCTTGAGGACAGGATGAATCAGGCATCACTGCTCTCCACAGACAGCAAGTAATATTTGTTTTCCCTTTTTTTTTTTTTTAAAAACCTGTTGCTGGTTGATGATTTTCTGTGTTTAACAGCTCTGGAGAACTGGGAACACACCAAAATTGTCATTCGGCACCAGTGCAGGCTCATGCGGCTCAGCAGGCAGAAGGACAAGGACCAGTTCTAACCCTCTGGGCAACACCTTTGGATGTACCAGTGTCGGGTTGAAGAGGGACAGAAGTTCGTCCCACGATGAACTCCAAACCACAGGCAGATTGTCAGACCATGTGTATACAGGCAAAACCACAGAACTGAAGGGTGTCTCAGGGAGCAAAGGGTAAGACAAAGCATGTGGAAAATTATCATCCTTCCCCCCCAAAAAAACAGGGAATATTTTCCCCCTTTTCCAAAGCAGAAAGGAGCAGGGCCCTCTGGCTAGTGATCCATCAGCAGCAGGGAGATGCTTGCAGAAGCAGTTAGCTCAAATAAAAAGCAACCATCAAGAAAGCTGTGGCCAGTACAGGTACACGCACCGCCCCTGTGACAGGTGAATGTTGCCCTCCTCACACTATTCACACCGCATGGCAAATGCCACTTCAGACACAAGCCGTGGTCTCAGTTATTAAAATATCACATTTTGTATCCTGGCAAGCTGGAAGGCGTTATTTGCTCTGCAATGTTCTCGCTAGAGGGCAATGTAGGATAGAGCACCCACTGAACAGGGAAACAGGTATCTAAGATCTTACAATATGATATTAAATTATTATTCACCTCTAGGCTAGCTTAGGAAACACTCATGTTAATTGTGTTTTTACTTTTTCTATAGTTTGCCTTAAAATCAAGAAAACACCTGGCTCACCCCACGACCTTTTTGTTATCTTTTTTTGAGACTCCCGACAAAATCCTACCGTTGCTGTAATAGTATTTTACACTTTATCTAACAAATCAAGCAGGTTTTGGAAAAACCCAAGGCATAGACTGTCACGACGGACAATCTAGGGCCTGCACAGAGCCAGACCATGCTTAAGGTGAATGGAGCACACCACTGGGCACAATAATTAGGCTATTAGGCAATTTGGGTAGTGCCTGTGGTTGAACATTCGTGTAGAATTGAGGGCTCAAGGGGAAATCAGACACGTTAGAAATAACTTAAGACATCCTTCCTCTTTTGAGAAATTCTGCACGATTGCTAGTCGCCTCCGTTACTCGGAAAATGCTTTCCACATCATGCCCCTAGCCAGGCAACCACGGAGCTGCTGCTAAGTAGAGAAGGAGGTCTAGCACAACCCCTTTTCCTGGTCCTGGGGCTGCTGCTAAGGATAAAGTGCTAAACTTGTGGCTAGCTTTAACACCACTTGCTAGGTCTTTTCCCATGTTTCACTCTAACTTTTAGATCAGCCTGATTTGATAAAGCCAGAGGGCACTACTACCAGGAGCAAACAGATCTAAGGTCTAATCCTGGCTCCATCAGTCTCTTGCAAAACTCCCGCTGATGGCAACGTAACTGGCGATCAGTATGGGATACTGCAGCCTCTGCCCTTTCATTCTCGGCTTAAAGTTTATTTCTATTGCTCAGAGCAGTACATTCAGTAACAAACGTCCTCCTCAATAGGAGGAAGGGAAAACATCCAATACTGCCCTGGAAACAAATGCTTCTTGCTCTGCAGGACTGCCTGAGCCTCCTCAAAGGGTTTGTGCTTGGTCCTGCACCCAACGTTTTAAGGAGGAGCAGGGCACTTTCTCAGTGTAGTTAGCCCCCCACAGAGCAGTGAAAAGTAGGATAAGAAAGATTTCTCCTTTTTGCAACTTGGTGGGAGGTTTTTGTTTGTTTTTGTTTGGTTGGTCGGGGTTTTTTTTTTGTCTTGTTTGTTTGTTTTTCAAATTTTTAATCTTAGAACTATAATTTTTAAAACTTCTTTCCAAATTATG